ATAAATTTGCTCTTTTTCTTATCAAAGTTTACTCCTTTAAAAAGAAGCACTGCTCGTTCAATTGCTACACAAGCATTAAGCCAACCGTCCAAGTAGAGAAAAAGTTTTAGAATTGGTTCAATAGATGCACAACCTCCACGAAGAACAGAGAGACTGGTGGACACATTGATATGAGTAAGAACAACAAACCAGAATTTGATTATGAACATACTAATTGCCAAAAGAGAAGTAATCGATGATGTCAATAGATACATTCCACATCCAACTTGTTGAGAATCTTTATGTTGAAATGTAGTAAAAGAGAGAACACTATTGATTAATCCTGCAATAAACATAATTATTGTTAAACCCGCACTAAATTTAATCGAAAATGATTGATTCTTCAACAATGTATTCGGTTGGAGTTCATCGCGTAAAATATCATCGAGTGTCAAACCAATTCCTTTGATGTAAAAGTTACATTGATCACCAATTACACAACTACTTTGTTTTGGACCTAAAATATTGGATACATTTTGAAAGAGAAAAAAATCGAAACATTAAGTTGTTTCGGCTACGAAATATTCAGTTTCGGTAATTTACTTGTTTCTCAAATGAAAAGGTTTTCTAATGTATTGGAATCTGTGCATTTTTCACATATAAGTAAAAATTTTTGCAAGATTTCGAGCCTTCGAAAACTGTATATCCGTAAAGATTTAAGAGACTGTAAGCAGCAACAGTCAAAATATGGAAAATCTATTTACAATTCATGCTAAACAGATGTCTTTTCTAATAGATCAGTAAACCCGAAGATTCTGAAAACGATTTAATTCAGTAACTATATAGATAGATCTTTCTTCAAAACCTAAGCTAAAAATTGCTCACTATTCAAAAAACAGTACACGAAACCTTCTTTTCATTTGTTTTATAGCATTGTATATTTGTTATCAAAAAAATCGTGAAAATACTTACTGAAAAGATCGAGACTGATATTGTTTGGTCCAGAGATAATAACAGAGAAGTTTCCAATTGTCTTAGGACTGTGTGTTGTCACAACTAATATGTATTGAGTGTTGATCTCAAGATCGATGATTAATTTGAATTGTTCATCATTACATTTACCGTCATGTGATAGGAGTAAATTTTCAGATGGTTTTAGAGGATTGAAATCATTTTTGTAGATATATCCATGTGCATTAATATTATTTTCACTCCAAAGAACATATAAACCAGTTGTATTAACATGAATTTGTGAAGTTTCATAATGACATTGCGGTACTTGACAATCTCGATAATATGTTGGATTATCATCAGTTAGTTTTGATGTATATCTGAATTGAATATTTACTGGAGTGCCTGTTTAATAAAAAAAAGTCAAATAATTCATAGAATTTCGATACTATTATAAATTTCTGTCTTCCACATTTTATTCAGAGAATATTTATTGACTAATAAAAAAAATAAATAGTTCATGAAACTACTATGTAACACCAACAAAAGCGAAATCTTTGGGATTTTTTATGAAGAATTAATTTTACAAATAAAGATTAGTAAATATACCAAATTTACATTCTTCAAGTGAGTATTCTGAAATCAGTATGTCACAGAAATCTAAAAGTGCTAAGCTACAGCAAAATACTCTTTGGGTTTTCAGCATTTGACTCTTAAATGTTTTCAAACATGTCATTAACTAATATTTTCTGACATTTTTCATTCAGTACTTGTGGAAACTGAACAGTATCCAACGACTAAGATAGTAGTAGATAAACACAAGAGTAAATATTCTGCTAGAAAATGCTTTAATATTAGATAGCATAAGTTCAGCACATTCTCTTGATATAGAATAAAAGATAGAATTGAATTTAGAAGATAGATTATATATTTTGTATGAATTATTTAATATATAACACAAATATCTATATACTTACTGAGACGCTCGAGATTAACTTTGTTTTTACCCAACACAACAATTGAGAATTTTCCAGTTTCTTTTGATTCATATGTAGTCACAACCAATACATATATAATGGCAACATCAAGATGAATATCAAGTTTGAACTGAGTATCAAAACCGCTGTCGTCATCTGTTTTAAGTAAATTCTCTGACGGATTAAGTAGATTGAATTTGTTTTCGTAAATAGATCCGTACGCATCAATAGTGCCACTACCACGAAAAGTGTAATAACCACTTTCGATCACTTTCACTTGAACAGATTCATAATAAAAATTTTGTTTCTCACAATCTCGGTAATAAATTTGATTGTTGTTAGTCAATGACGATGAATAAGTCTTTTGAAGAAGCGAAGAAGTATTGGCTAAATAAACAACAAAAGCAATTAAAGTTTATCGTAAGTGCACACAGAAATACAAGTCTTTTTTAACAGAAACTTTTTATTCACTTTGAATATACGTTTATAATCGATTAAACTGATAATCTGTGTTCAACAGGATAAAAGACTGTTTCTCAACCAGAAAGCATTTTAATTCATTCTGTGATATTATTTTTTTTCGACATTTTGAAAAAATAAAACGTTCTATAGATCGAATAGTATCAAAGAGAATTTAATCAAAATCTTTGATCGACATATACAGCACAATGTTTGGCTCTTACATGAAACTCAAAATTCGAAATAAAATATGACGAATGAAGAGACAGAGAAACTTCTGAATCATTGTATTTAACCGAGGATATTTTTTGCAACCAATCGATCAAATAAAAACATATTATTGTCTACGTCGATCAGATAGTTTCAACGTAGCATCTAAGAAGTTCTGTATGTTATTCTTCTAAAAACAACCAATATCTTCGACTTTTTTTCTGATGAGATAGTTATCTTCACGTCTTGAAGGTGAATATGTTTAAACGAAGAATATCTATAATCAATTGAAATTTCTTATCTTAAATAAATTTACCTAATTTATATTGAATCTCTTAAATTAATCAATTGTTTCATCTGCACAATTTTATTTTTTTTTCGATCAGAAAAGTTTCATGTGCTGTATTTGCTTTTGCTTCGAACCTCAGTTTCATCTAACGAAAACTAGACAGCATTTCATTACCAACATTCACATCTCTTCATCTCATTCGATTATACTTCAACTTACCACAAGATTTTTTTAAATATATAAATTTTTGAATTCGAAGATTATCTCGCTCACTAACAAACATGTTACCAGAATGATCAAAACCAAAACTAAATGGCTCGCGCAATTGATTGGATTGTGAACCTCTTCCATAACATCCAACTAAACATCGAAAACCATTCAAACCTGAACCAACAATGCGATGATTGTTACCATCCACAATGAATAAATATTTCTCAGCATCTAATATAACTCCAGTTGGACAATCAAGTCTAATTGTTGGATTTAGTGATTCACTTCCAGCTACTGTGATTCCATTTGATTCTTCTGGCTGAAACAACTGAACTCGATCATTAAAGCAATCTGCTACATATAAATCCAGATTCACATCAACAAAGATTCCACGAGGAATACGAAGTTCATTTGGGGCGAATCCTGCACTGCCATTTCCAGCAGCAATACGATTTGAAGTCATCAGAGCATCATTTAATGATCTCTTCACCACTTGCTGATAAAAAGGCATTGAACAATAAAGAGTATCATTGACATCGACAAATAAACCATAACATGATGACTTGACATTCATCACTGTGACAAAAGTATTCGTTTCTGCTATCCATTTCTGTACTCGACCACTCAGAATATCACCATCACCAATATAAATGTCACCATTTGATGTTACGAAGAGAGAAATGGACCCTGTAAAATTACCGTGAATGATGTTTGTTGGATTGACACTCTCTTCTTGCCACATTATAATTGTTTTATTTAGTCGATTAACGACATAGATTGTGTTGTTTGTGTTCACAAAAATAGCGCCAGGTACAAAACCAACAGTCGATTGATCAGCAATGGTAATGCCATTGGGATTCCAAATGGCTGTTGAACAAAACTTCGGTTGATTGAATGAAAGGCCTAAAAACAAGAAAAATAGAAAGAATATTAGAGAAAAACTGTAAATGAAATGAAATTATTAGTTTATATATTTGTAAAAGAAAAATAAAGTTTCTTCAAAGGCATTTTTCATGAAAAAGACATTTAGAAATGTTTATCAAAACTAATTTCGGAAATGATTTTTATTGGTTTTGATATGAAATATGAATTTTTATATTGTTAAAATATTTTTGTTTAAAACATCGACGTTGATCATTTTAGATAAAAAATTTTCTTATAAATTTTTTTGGAAAATCTTGTGGCAGATCTGAATAAATTGTATCAAAGAAAATAGTCGCAAAAAGAAATTATTTATTTAAAGAAAAATAGTCGAGAGAAAAGAAGAAATTTTATCAATAAATTTCTTTCGTTGCAATTTTAATTATCAAACTGTTTTTTTTGAAAAATAATTTTACAGATATGTCAACGCAGATTTCTTTTTCTGAAATGTTTATTCAAACAAAAATTTCAATTCTCAAACATTTATTCAAACTTTTTTTTGATAAACATCTAAAGTTAATTTAGAGAAGAAATTAAAGGAAAACGATAAATGTCCCTATGTTCTCAGTTGTGTAGATTATTGGGAATATAACTCGATTTATCTTAGTAAATTTCATTAAGAAATAAAAAATTATGTCAGTTCACGTCATATCGATACTGAATGACAAAAGGAAAGAAAAAATGAGAGAAAAAATACAACTTTTTAAGATCCTCGAAAATTCTTCTTTTCTCTGTATAGAAATTCTTCATGAGCAGTCATCCTATTCCGGAAAGTTACACATTCCGGAATCGCTTGGCCCACCTAAACTAACATCATTCAATTCCGAAATTCCTTGTATTCGATTCCTGCCAATTCCGGAATTCCTTGCATTTGATTCCTACCAATTCCGGAATCGCTTGATCAATTGATATCCATGTAAGCCTCGACATGGTGACAAACACAGAATTCCGGAGTTCGTGCATTTCCCAGAATTCCTGCCAATTCCGGAATTCCTTGATCTATTGATATTTATGTAAAGCTTCACATAGAGAGGTTTCGTCGGTGTGCAAGCACAATATTGCGGGTGCGCGGGAGGCATGGTCGATGGGCAAGCACAATAGTGTGGGTGTGCGGGTGGCTTGATTGGTGTGCAAGCACAATAGTGTAGGTGCGCGGAAGCCTTGTTAGATGGGCAAGCAAGGTGTGAGCAGGAATTCCTACCCATTCCTAGTGATTCAGAAAATGCAGGAATGTGCCGGAATTCCGCTACGGAATCGAGTCGATCGCTGAACAGGATCATTTCTACATGAATTATATCTTTTGCAATTCTGGAATAGGCGGAAAACGAATGCAAGGAATTTCGGAATTGAATGCTGTTAAATTGGGTGGATCGAGCGATTCCGAAATGTGTAACTTTTGGGAATAGGAAGCATTCTCTTCTTCATACACATTCTCGATCGAAGACTTTTTTATCTCACGAAACTTTAAAGATTGATCAAAGATCACACATAATCTCGTCTTTATTCAATATAAATGGAACAAATCTTTTTTTGTAATCTCAATAGAATTTTACTGATTTCAATATTTTTCCTATGAAATAAAGAACAAAACAACAAATGCTTTATTGTCATGTAAAAAGAATAAATAATTCTCATCAAACGAAACTAATCATTATCTACACATATTCAAGCAACACTGAAATAAATACTTGTAAAACTCACAAATCTTTTATCAATCAGAAAAACTTTTTCTCATCGAAGTTTAGAAATGTAAACAAAACTTTGTTAATTAACCTATGTAAAATTTTCATTTAAGAACAATCTAGAATAGAATTGATTAAAATTCAAATTTTCTTATTGATCATCTTAAATAAATGAATTTGATTGAACAAATAAATATTTTTATTCAAAGTCAGCTGAAGAGATTCTATTTATTTTATCAAATAAACAACTTTTTTCGTATTCTTTTATGGAAAATATTGTTTGTTTACAATTATAGAAATAGTAAAATATATATATATCACATTATAAATCCCTTCAACTATTCAATAGTATTCTCTACAATTAAATATTATGATAACTATCCAAAGAACAAATCATTAATCAATTGTTTTCTTTATGAGAAAACTTATTTTTTATAATATTTCATATTGAAATTTATCTCTCTCAAAGAGAAACAAGAAAAATTAGTTTTTAGAATTGTGATATTTTATTTGTTTTGTTTTTCTTGAATACAACTTATTGAAATATGAAATACGAAGTCAAATCATAGAATAATTTATATCAAAACTATATCGACAAAGATATGAAGAGATTTTATTTCGATAAAAACTGTTTCATTAATGAAATACTCTTTGAGACATGAAATGAAACATAAATGCCCTTTCTACCACTGCATTAAGGACAAAACTTTTTCTTTGTCTATTTTTCAATCTCAATAAAAAGCCGAAGATTGTTTCCCCTAGACGATTAACATACGGCTCTGTCTAATCTGAACATTTCATTTCCTTAGACACATTCTGTTACGCATTGATTTAATTAATCTTTTTCAACCGTTTTTGATTTCTTTCATTTTTTATATTGAATTATCTTTATTAACTTCTGCTACTAGTCTATTCACATGTCTTGATCTCATTCAAGTTTTTCTTCAACTTACCAAAAGAATCCTTCATCAGTAAAAATTTTTGAATTCGATGATTTAATTGATTAGTAACAAACATGTTCCCAGAATGATCGAAACTAAGAATACATGGAGTATCCAATTGATTGGATTTTGAACCTCTTCCATAACATCCAACTAAACATCGAAAACCATTCAAGCCTGAACCAACAATGCGATTATTGTAAGAATCCACAATGAATAAATACTTATCAGCATCTAATATAATTCCAACTGGAAGATAAAGCGTAGTTGTTGGATTTACTGATCCACCTCCAGCTACTGTGATGCCATTTGATTCTCCCGATTGGAACAACTGAACTCGATCATTTCCACAATCTGCCACATATAAATCCAAGTTCACATCGACAAAGATTCCACGAGGATCATTCAGTTGATTCGAGGCCGATCCTTGGGTACTTGTTCCAGCAGCAACACGATTTGAAGTCATCAGAGGATCATTTAATGATCTTTTCACTACTTGATGATGACCAAGCATTGAACAGTAAAGACTATCATTGATATCGACAAACAAACCCCAACATGATGAGTTGACATTCATCACTGTAACAAAGATATTTGTTTCTGCTATCCATTTCTGCACTTGACGATTCTCATGTCCATCATCAATATAAATATCACCATTTGATGTCACAAAGAGAGAACTGGACCCTGTAAAATTACCGTGAATGATGTTTGTTGGATTGACACTGTCTTCTTGCCACATTACAATTGTGTTATTTTGTTTATTAGCGACATAGATTGTGTTGTTTGTGTTCACAAAAATGGCGCTTGGGCTTCCACCAACAATCGATTGATTAGCAATGGTAATTCCATTAGAATCCCAAATGGGTGTTGACGGAAACTTGGGTTGATTGAATGAAAGAGCTAAAACAAGAAAATAGAAAGAATATTAGAGAAGAACTGTAAACGAAATGAAATTATTAGTTTATGCTTTTTCTCGGAAAAATTCATTGAGATTAATTTTGAAAAGATTTTTATGATTGTTGTTCTATTCTCTCGAATGAATTGTAAATATCAACTTACAGACGGATGAATTCATCGAAGAAGATCTACTTTATTTATTAATTTTTGTGTTATAAAAGAAAAATAATTATGTTTGATCCTTGAAAAGATATGATTATCATTAAAAACAACAAAATAATCAAATCATTTTTTTAATTTGTTCAACAAAAATGAATTCGAAGGAGAAAAAAGAATTGTTTAGAATGAAAATGACTTTATTGAAATAGATTGATATTTAAACAAAATGTCTTTGAAATTTAAATTCAATTCTCATTTTCACACAAAAAACATTATGAATTCATTGATGTTAAATCATTTCAATTATATACCATCAATTTTGTCAACGATCTGCATTTGCACAATGCTACTGTTATCATCGTTTACAAAAGCCTACTAAATCTCATCATCATCTATATTCTCACTCAACTTTCGTGCGCTCTTGTTCGATAATATAGACTTTGAAAATAATTTTAGATGTAAAAGCAAAAACTTCACCGTGGTTTTTACTACGAAATAATATCGCTTGTCTAGAAACAGTCGGTCAATCTATTCGTTTTTTTTAATGAACAGTTTAAAGATTTTTCTAATGTGACACACATATAACTCATATTTCATCATTAATAGTTTTGGTAATATTTTATAATTTCAACATACTTTAGCAATAAAATCAATCCCTATAGAGAGACACATTCTCTGAATGAGTTAGGTTAGAGTCTAGAAGAGATGAGAATGATCACTTTTGAATAATTATATAACAAAAATTCCTGTCGAATTCTATAATCTATTATTTCACTCCCTAGAGTTCAACTAAAACTCTAATGAATAATCTCATTTTTGTGCAGTAGCTGATCTCGAATATGTGATAAATAAAAGTGTTTACCTGATGTTTCATTGCTGGAAATGAACTGAAGAATAATGAGAAATACGTAAATATTCCACATCATCCAACAAGATTTTATTTTTGATAAATTAATTTACTAATAAAATAATCTTCTTCTTCTTCTTTGCCTTCAATGAAAGCAAAATGACAATCATTATAGATTTTCTCCCTAGTTATATATCTCTCTTTTTCTCGCTTTCATTTCTTTCAACACAACATACAAAGAGAAAAAATAGTGTTCTAGATATAGTTGCGTCGTGAATAAGATAAAAAATTGATCATAGATTAGATTAATGAACAAAATTCATGATTTCATTTGATATTTTTCGTTGAATCACATTCTTTTCGAAATTCTAAAACACAAAATGGAATTTAAATTTGAGATGATACTTATCTTGTTTTTTTTTGATTTTATAGAAAATCTTTGATTTTGATGACGAAGAACGTGACAAATAGAAAAGAGAATTGATCAAAATCTGCATTAATCATCGGACGTGTTTTAACTGAAAATAAGATATCAACTATCATCGTCAATAAATGATTGACGCCAATGAATAAGTCATGATTAGTTTGATGCCTTTTTTTATCTGATTCTGTTAAATAATCTGCTTTGTCAGGATTCACGTTTAATCACGTTCTTTATTTCTCTATGCGCAATAAGTATCTTTATGAAAAGTTCTGTTCAAACATAATCAAAGTCGCAAAACGCATATTTTTTATGTAATATTCTGTACAATCAGTCAGCAACAAGTTTTCAAGCATGGTGGATATCTTTGATTCAAATTGATTTTTCAACTAGAGATGAGAATCGTTCTTTTCTATCGTACATTTGTTTTCTTAGATAAATAATACTGAGAGTAATGTTTTCTAGTATAGCTAAGAGTCGATCATATATTCGACATGAAAACTATATAAAAGTACCGAAGGTACGATGCTAAAACTAAACTTATGTTTCTTTTCAATATCCTCAATACTTTTCAAATTATGCCTTTACTGTTTTATTAATAATCACTAGTCATCAAGTTCAATTAATCAATATTTTATTTTTCAAAAATCTAATAATAACAAATAGAGCTGTCCATGCAAAAAAAAATTGATTTCTAATCGATTTTAGCCTCTTAAATATATGATCTGAAATAAAGTTCAATACATTCGCTAATTTCGTTTACTAGAATTATTAAATACATATGATTATGGTAAAAGATTGCGTAGGAGCTTTATTTGGTTCACAATTTCCTGAATAGTTTACTAATTAATTAGTAATCAGAAGTTATATTGCAAAAATCAGCAGTTAGCATAATTTATTACAAAACAATTCTTTGATTATAATCGCGGTAAAATTTGATTTAATCGCCAATTTATTTTCGAAAAATGATTAAACGAGATTTTTTTATTGAGAAAAATGACGAAAGTATCTATTAAATGTCATAGTTTTTCTTCTGAACAATTAATTAAAATTTTACAATTCACATCAAATATTCATACATTAAAACCTGATTCAATAATACTTTCTCGAAATAATTCGAATTTAATCTAACAAAATCCATTAACTCAATTAGTATCTAAAACAAATATTATAACAAAATTAACAATTAGGAAAGAAATCTCATTAGAAAAAATTCAAATATTAACTGCTGTTTTTGTTGAATGGAAAAGCTTACTATTAACTTATTCAAACAAGATTTGAAGCCTATAGCTCATTTTTTTGGTTCATGTCAAGAATGTCCTTTTGTTTCTCATCCTTACATATATATTTATGTGGAAGAACGAAAAACAAAAGGACATTACGTCCGAGGACATTCTTGACGGACACCGAAAATTTAAAACAAAGAGATTTCCAATATGAACTGCAGCTGATTCAATAAGACCCTCGATTTGTATTAACTCAGTTAAAACATTGAGGGTGTGAGTGTTTGTGTTATATTCATTCCATACTTACACCACACCTCCAAGGTTTCTTTCCTTTTAACAAGACTTTCCATGTGTTATTTGTTTATAGATTAGACAACATAACAATTTCATCACCATTATGTCAATAAAACACTTTTTCAACAGATTGTTTTTAACATGAGGACCACAACATGGTTTGATCGATTACCCACTGAAATTATTTTTACAATATTTGATTATTTATTGAGTAACGACAT